ATAAGTCGAAAATAAATTGACAATGCCATGGCTAAAAAGACAAACAACAGTACACAAAACACAACATAGAAAACTAAAGACTGAACATCACGAACCTCACCAAAAACTGGGGGTGATCTCAGGTTCTCTGGAAGGGTAAGCAGATCCTGCTCCCCATGTGGCACCCGTCATGCTGGTCATGTTAGTACAAACCTGGTGATAAGTCTAATTCTGTAGTTAACATTCAAAAGGGGACGGGATTGTACAATTGGAACATATCAGTTGTCTTCTGTGAAACAGATATCCCATAACGTCAACCAACTCGTGATGGCGTCCGTAAAATTTACGAAGGAATGATTTAAACTTCACCGCTTGGAACTCTTGGTTTCATAGCTTCCTTGTGAGCAGCAACCCTCTATCAAGAAACTTATGATAGAAAATACAAGCTCTGGAATATCGTATCAACTGGGAGATATATACCCCGTATGCAGGCACTGCTGGAATGTTGATACATAGAAATGGAAAGTTCAACATAGTCACCAAATTTTAATTTACTTAGTGAGAGAACATCATTTATATAGCGAAAAAGTGAAGTTAAAGGATATTGCTAACTTCTTTTCTTTCTGTCTAAGAAGTTCCTGTATGAAGTCCGCCTCATATGAATAAAGGAACAAGTCGGCAAGAAGAGGAGCACAGTTGGTTTCCATTGGAATGCAGATTGATTGTTGAAAAACACGTCCTCCAAACGTAACAAATATGTTGTCAATCAGGAAATCAAGCATCTTGATGATGTCAGTTTCAGAGATTTGTTTCTTGAATCAGAGTGATTTTTTTACAAAGTACGATTCATCCCTCCCTAAGACAAGATACTTGTATCTACGTTGGCTATTCTTTTTTATGAAACAAAAAAGGACCAACTCTTTCAATTTGTCTTTGAGTTTGGAATGGGGAATACTTGTGTAAAGTGTAGAAAAGTCAAATGTTTTAATACTATTGCAATATGAACGAGTCTTAGATTGTATGTACTCTAAAAGATCTTTGATTTGTTTAAGTATCCACATCTGATGCACGCCACCTCTAGAATAAGTAGTTTCACAATAACTTTGAAGCCTGGCTTTGATTGCTGATAAAATTGATGTTAATAATTTAGAAAGATGTTTCGTGGAGCACTTAGAAGACCCAGCAATATAACGTTCTTTGTAAGGACACTTATGTAGTTTAGGTATCCGATACAGTGAAGGAAGATCAAGTTCTTCATCTTTGGTTGCAGTTCCAATCAACATAGAGCAGACCTATGATTATCCAGGATTTCCTCCATGGTAAGTGTCGTGGGGGTATATGTTGAGTTGTCAATACCTAATTCATTTATCAAGCAGTTTATGTAATGTGATTTACACTCAAACACGATTTTGTTTGGGGCTTTCTCTGCTGGGACAAAAACATATTTGTCATGGAGGTAGGACACGTGTTTTGCAACATTTGGGTCTTAAAAGATTGATATAGCAAGAGTATTCATAGACACTCAGTTTTTTAATTCTGATTTGTATCAACGGCCTCACAGCCTTAATCCATTTGGAAAGAGTGTCGACGTCTTCTTTCTCGCGTTTAACCTATTGTCTGGCATAATCCTCCACTGAATCCATCAGTATTTTGAAATTGTGTTTCCAATTGATAGCTATAGATTTAGGCTCACGATACGGGCCTTTGGATAACACATTTTGCAGTGTTATTGAAAAAGTTTAGGTCACCAGTAATAACGTGGCTAGCCGGGTTATATATGACTGGAGAACTAGCACAGGTGCAATCAGGAGGTTTAGACTTAAATAGTCAATATTGAGATCCTGCAAGACGTGTTTGTAATTGAAAATTTTAGTTGCAATTGGTTTGGTATAGGTATTAGAAATGATAGGTAAAGACTGATCTTTAAAATAAGGAGGTATTTTCGAGTGAACTGATTTATGCTGAAGGATATTTCCCAAGTTGATGGCATCGAGACCTTTGTTGGCAAAGGAACGTTTAGAAAAGATCTTTTCTCCTTTTCATCTTTTCCAATGCGAACTGGTTAGAAAAGTCTGTGATATCTGAGATGATAACTGTAAGTTTGTATTTGTTTGAAAGGGGGTTTATAACAGTGGTTTCCAAAAATAAGTTGTACAGAGTTTTAAAAGTGATAATGAATAAAGCTTCGTGCTAATGTGATAAACACCGAACGGCTTTTGTATAAATGGCAGCATGTCATTAATAGAGACATCATGGAGACTGGGTGATGTATAATGACGCTGACCATGACTGCGTCTACGTTGGGGAGTAGAGTTGAAAATGTTCATCATATTAAAGTAGTTTTGGGGACATAGTCTATCTAAGTGTTAACCAAGGAAAAAAACCTAACGGACCCGCAATCACGTTTTAGTTTTAGATATGCAAATCATATATCAGTAAGAATTATCACTTAATGAATTGGATGCGTCCCTTCAATCCAATTTACAAAGCGATTGTTCATGTACTGTTTAACAAATTCAAAGTAATTGGAATTTCTTAAAAATCGTTTCATCTTTTATGTCAGAGTCTTTTGAAACATAATTTTGAGTTGCCCTCATTAGACCTTTATTAGTTTTATGAAAAATATGTATGTTGTGCCTTGTAGCATTTATTTTAAAATTGGTGTTCCAAAACGGAAGTCACAGAAAACGCAAAAACACATTTCATAGAGGACACCGTTTGCTGGGATACACTGTATTCAAAGGTATTTTATGTTAACTTTTTACATCAGAAAACATAAACGTTAACGTTCCATATATTCCATGCATGTTCAGGACGAGCAAAAATTAAAAAATGAAAGCAATATGAATCTTCTGTAAATATAGAGACTGTCTGTGAAATTTAAACTGCCACTTGAAAATAATGGTATATTGGATAGGAATAGAAATCTTGCTTACAAAGAGTTATCACAAGGGTTCTTAACTTACAGAGAGCGATAGCACTCTTTCTCTACACGAGGCTTCAGGTTTAACGTCCCCATTCTGACCGGACGTGGCTGCGATCTTGTACATCTCACACAGCCAAACGAACGATCCAAAGCGGCAAGGGTTTGACTGCCGGACGCAAAAAGACCTAAGGGACCATTTCTTATACCCAAGTCGCCCGTGAGTGTTGATTTAGATTAAGAAAGAAGATGTTTTTATTGGCAAACGAAAGAAGGTACTACTTGAAATGGTCATTTGTGCGTTTTTGGGCTATGAAGATGAAACAATAAAAATGAAATTCAATGGATAATTAAAACGAACAGTGAAAACGATTTTTATCTGGATCTTCCCAATTCCTCTTTAAGCCAGACAATTATAGCAATCCGGTTAGTTTGAAGGATAGTTCAACTGTCAATACTAATGACTATTGGCTTTTGAACTATAGGACTCACCCTTTATACAGAAGAAATCCAAAATATTTATTTTTTTTGAAATGGCGACTTTTTAATAAGAATGAATTTATATAATTTTCATTCTTATAAACAACTTATGTAATAAAATGTTAAAACCATTCGAAATTTTTCAAGTTTTCACTGCTTTTCTGCTGTTTTTTTAATTGATTTTGCCGTCCAACAGTATTGTTTCAAGAATTACTGATGATCCGGGTATCTTTGATGAATTTTACAAAAACTTAGAGAGTATCACCAACCCAGTATTCAGTATTCCTATGTTGAATAGAACTTTCATTTATGCGGTTATTTCTCTTTTAAACTAACTGTTCATAAAATGTTAAATAATAAGTATACACTTAGGTTTTCTACTATACCCGGATTTGACATGACTTTTAAGAATCTTTTTTTCAATGCTTCCGATTCTAGACCGGCGAAATGTTTGCAAAATTCGATGCCAAAATTGCTGACACGCCCTCAAATGTTCTCTCGGGCATTTTAGCATATTCTTTAGGTTTACTAAAATATTTGTTAAATTGACGAGACCTTCTTGATAATATTATTTCGAATCAGATAAAAAAAATAAAAGAAAAATATCCTTCACAAAAATAATAATCCATTAGGATATTTAACATTTTTTCCGAAAAATTACGAATTCAACCTTCGTAATCTAACTTTTGCACATACGTATATGATGTTCTTGGTTTAAAAGTTGGCATCAGAATTTTAATGTAATTATGTTCTTTTAATTTGCCTTAGTGCTTTGATTTTGTTGCTTTACTTTATGATCTGTACAACTCTAGTTTTTGTACACGTTCCCAGAGTACATCATTGATGTAACGCTTTGTGGATACATTGATAAGCTGAGCTTGTTATGATTACACTATATTGATAATATTATTACAGTATTAACCAAATGTTTTTAGGGGTTATTTATATGTAAACTGGTTCGATTATCTCACAAAATGAATAAAAGTTCCGATGAACTCACACATTGAAATAAAAGTCCGAAGGATTTTTTGTAAAATTTGTGAGTCAGTAGCTCAGTTTATACATCAATTACTTCGATCAATTAAGGTTCTTTTTTGTCATATAGCTTTTCAACTGTTTCGGTTCTTGTACTTCCTTGGCTTTCAAAAATTCCGCGTTTAGCATTCCTGATGAAGGTAAATCCAGAAAAGCACTTCGGACACATCAAACTTATAACGTGTTGTTTTCATTTTTTTACCTCTAGAAAAGAAGTTCTTACACGAGCAACACGACGGGTGCTACATGTGAACTAGTTAACAATAAAAGGTTACAGTCCGCAAGAAGACATGTAACCCTACTCTACCAGATTATTTTATTCTGACTACGGACCGGCTATTTTTTGCTTTTTCATTTAGTAGCCGCGTAATTGGCGGAGAAACAACAATTACCAACTTCAAATCTTTTGAATGACACGAGCAGGGATCGAATCCACGACCTCCTGAACTCATTGAGATGAGCACTCTACCATGAAACAATCGCTGCTTTACAATATCACATTTATTATACACTTAGTAGTGAATACAAGTAAAGTGTATGTGCAATGCAAGCAATAGTAATCGTGCTGTGCCAGTGGCGATTGCAAAGGCTTAATAAAACCCCTAATCTGACGTCAGGTTATCAATATCAGTCACGGATGCTTACGCTTCATCAAACTCCTTATCTGTATATAACGTCATGTAACGTAAAATACAACAATTCGAGGCTTATTATAAAGTGTATATGATGGCTCTGACCATTAATTTATAAAGAAGAGATGTGTAGTGAAGCAGTTTCTCACACCGTGTCAACCCTCCATCAATATAATCCCTCGAGTAGTTCTCTTGACATAATATTGGTTCAGGGTTGATACGTGTGTGATATTGAAAAAGCCATTTGTATTATCTATTTATTTCGTTTGTATTAAACATTTTACGGCTATTCTACCTAATGGATTAAATGACATTTAAAGATAACTGTATAAATCCGATTCTTGACTGTTATTATCTTTTGATAAATTTGTTTCTTTCAAAAAGTCAAAATCACACACATTCTCTATTGTTTCCTTAATTCTGAAATCCAATTAAATTTAAATACTTTGTTTTGAATAAGATTTATACGATTTTCAATTCTTTCTAACTCCGTTTTGATGTCGTGCAACTGGCTAAAGGCATGATCTTGATTTTCTATGCTCTTTTTATTCTGAAGGTCTTGTGAAGTACATACTATCTTTTGCTTTATTTCATTTAATTCTCGTGTGATATTTTTCACGTGATTGAAACAAAGCAACCGCTTCCTTTGTAAATCCTTTTCAGACTCGGTTTCAATATCAACATTAAAGGTTCGATTTTCTACAATTTCCCGCATAGTTTTCTGTAGCATACAACACTGCTTGTCTACTTTTTTGAGAATTGTTATTTGTTTTTGCATTAAGAAATCGACATTTTTCTTTAAACCATCTAGCTTTTGCTCCGTAATATCTACCAGGGAGGACAAACCATATTTAGCTGCTCTAGTCACAGTAAGTATATCCGGGCATTTGATATGGTTACTGCAAACACATTCTACACAAATTATTAATTCGTGAGAACAGCAGAAAAAGCTACTATGTTCCTTGTGCAATTCACATAAATTTGTCTGGATGGTTTCAGTATTAGCTAGAATAAATCCACTTGAAATATCATGACAAGGCTCTGGTTCGGTTGCCTGTGCTATCATTTCTGAAAGAAAAAGATCTATTATTATCTATTACACTAGTTAATCTATTGTTATCATAATAAAGTATACGGGTGGATTTAATGATTTAATTCAAGTATCCTTGCAAGAACATCTGAATAGAAAAGAGAATATGGTTTATACATGAATAATACATCTACTTGAAATGAAAATCGTTTTTATCTGCGGTTCATCTCAAAGCAACTGACCTGTAACGGCATAAGAATAGATGTTTGTACATTCTGCTTTAAAAGAGGGACGAAAGATACCAGAGGGACAGTCAAACTCATAGATCGAAAACAAACTGACAACGCCATGGCCAAAAATAAAAAGACAAACAGACAAATAATAGTACAGATGACACAACATAGAAAACCAAAGACAAAGCAACACGAACCCACCAAAAACTGGGTGTGATCTCAGGTGCTCCGGAAGGGTAAGCAGATCCTGATCCACATGTGGCACCCGTCGTGTTGCTTATGTTATTACAAATCCGGTAAATAGTCTAATTCGGTAAGTCACATTCGTGAAAAGGGAGGGTATTGTAGTTACGAAATAAGGAACATATCCGATATCATCTGTGAAACGGTTATTCCATAACGGTCAACCAACTCGTGATGGCGTCCGTAAAATTTACGAAGGGATGACTTCAACTTCACTATTTGGAACTCTTGGTTTAATAGCTTCCTTGTGAGCAGCAATCCTCTATCAAGGAAATCATGATAGGAAACACAAGCCCGGGAATATCGTATCAATTGGGAGATAATATACTCCGTATGCAAGCTTTAAACTAGATGGACTTTATGACGAATAATTACGTTAATTTTCATCGTGTTAGCTCACTGTAAACCTACCTGGATATATTTTCATAAGTAAATGCCACATAGTCTCTGCCATCACTTCTAAATGCACCGTGAACAGCGGAGAAGCAGAAAATCCTATTTTAAAACCTTTTTTCGAACCTATGACCTTCAGTCATATGGCCAGCACTCTACCAAGAGATAACCGTTTCAACATTGCTATGATCATAACTAATCAAAAGGTTATTTGTGTCCATGCAATCATATATCACAAAGACGTTCAAAAGCAAACCCGAATTATTAGGAAAATTGACGGACATTGTTCTTCTTTAAAACTAAATTTCTATAATTGGAAAAATCGCAATTACGTTCTTTTTTGTGAATAAAGCCAGCTTACAATAATGCAAATTTAAGTTACAGAAAGATGTGGTGGAAACAATTTGTGTTTTACTATTAAAAACTATACCTCAGAAATAACAAATAATGTGAAACAATAAATCAAAATGGAAATCAATAGTCTTTACAGAACTAAACGTTCGTAAGATCTTCATAAAATCAGTGGTTTTCAATATATAATTCATGTATTGTCAAACTTTTAAAGTTTTAAGTTTAACTGCACTGCAACGACAAATCTTATATTCTGCTTAAATGATAAAGAAATCCCTGTAACAAAATGCCACAAACACCTTGGGGTAACGTTTTGCTCTGATGCTCGGTGGAATAACCATATAGACAATTTGATTACCAGTGTTACAAAACATTTAAATATACTGAGAAAACTCAAGTACCAACTTTGTAGGAAATATTTAGAAAAACTGTATTAATTGTTCATAAGACCAATTTTTGTCGAGCCTGCAACTTCTGTCGCAAAAAGCTCGACATAGGGAAAGTGTTCCTGCGGCGGCGGCGGCGTTAACTTACTTCTTAAAAGCTTAATATTTCAGAAGGTAGAAGACCTGGATGCTTCGTACTTTGTATATAGATGCCTTATGATATGAAGTTTCCGTCTGTCATATGTCAATTGTCCTTCACCTCATTTTCATGGTTCAGTGACTACTTGAAAAAAAATTTCAGATTTTTTGTAATGTTAATTTCTCTCTTATTATGAGTAATAGGATAACTCTATTCGGTATGTGTGTACCTTGCAAGGTCCTCATGCCTGTCAGACAGTTGTCACTTGACCTCGACCTCATTTCACAGATCAGTGAACAAGGTAAAGTTTTCGTGGTCAAGTCCATATTTCAGATACTATAAGCAATAGGTCTACTATATTTGGTGTATGTAAGGATTGTAAGGTGTACATGTCCAACTGGCAGATGTCATCTGACCTTGACCTCATTTTTATGGTTCAGTGGCAAAAGTTAAGTTTTTGTGTTTTGGTCTGCTTTTTTAATACTGTATGCAATAAGTCAACTATACTTGGTGTATGGAAATATTTTACGATGTACATGTCAGTCTGGCAGGTTTTATTTGATCTTGACCTCATTTTCACGGTTCATTGCTTAATGTTAAATTTTTGTGTTTTGGTCTATTTTTCTAATACTGTATACAATGGGTCAACTATATTTGGTGTATGGAAATATTTGACGATGTACATGTCAGTCTTTCAGGTTTTATTTGACCTTGACCTCATTTTCATGGTTCATTGCTCAATGTTAAGTTTTTGTGTTTAGGTCTGTATGTCTTAAATTTTAAGCAATAGGTCAACTATATTTGGTGTATGGAATGATTGTAAGGTGTATATGTCTGTCTGGCAGGTATCATCTGACCTTGACTTCATTTTCATGGTTCATTGGTCAATGTTCAGTTTTCCTGGTTAACTTTGTTTCTTAGATACTATAAGCAATAGGTCAACTATATTTGATGCATGGAATGATTTTAAGGTGTTTATGTCTGTCTGGCAGGGTTCATCTGACCTTGACCTCATTTTCATGGTTCATTGGTCAATATATAATTTGTTTCTTTTATACTATAAGCAATAGGTCATCTACCTTCGGTGTATGGAATGATTGTATTAAAGGTGTACATGTATTTCCGGTTTGGTTTATCTTACCTTGACCTCATTTTCTTGGATCATAAATGTTAATGTGATACTTGTAGTAAAACTTCATATTTAGGACTATCAACATAAAATCAATGATCAGTATAGTAGGCGAGACATTTTAGCGTGTGCACTCTTGTTGAATATGCAACTGAGGTTCGGAATAATTGTGGGATATGATATGCTAATTAACTTGAAAGTTTGCGGCTAGAAGCTGCTAGAATAGTTACTGGTTTGCCTATATTTACAAGAACTGATAGTCTGTACGAAGAAGTTGGGTGGGAAACTTAAGCTGACAGGAGGAGAAGACGAAAATTACAAATGTTTTATAACATTCAATATAAACAAGCTCCGGATTATCTATTCAATCTTGTTCCACCCTGCGCACAGAGCACACCTGTATATTCCTTGCGGAATGGCAATAATATTGTTGTTCCTTTTTGTAGATTATCACTTACTAAAAAATATTTTACACCATCAACTATAAGACTATGGAATCATATAGATTTGTTCCTTCGAAAAGCAGATTCTATCTCAAAATTTTAAATCCAATTAAAAAGGCTAAATACTATTAATAAAGATGTACCTAAGCACTATTTATATGGACCGAGGAAACTGAATATAATTCTAACTCAATTAAGATGCTCATCGTCTTTCTTGAATTATGACTTGTTCAGAGTCAATATAATTGCTGACCCATCTTGTCTATGTGGGTTCAACGTTGAGACTGTACACCATTTCCTTTTCGACTGTTCTTTATATACAAACCAGAGAGAAATTCTGATGAACAATCTAAGATGGCCCCCTGATGACCTTATTTTGAATACTAAATTACTAAAATCTGGTAATCCAAACCTCTCGTATGAACAAAACGAATTTATCAAAAGGTCTGCGAGATTTCTTGTCATATGATACTGAATAGTGTATTTGCGGTACATTCACATCATCATCATCATTACCAATTTTCCCGTTATTATTGTTTCATCTTTTTTCAATAGCTAGACTCGTAAAGTATTGTATATTTGAAATATTACATGCTCATATTAATATTGTATTGTATTGTTATTTATTGTTATTCGGAGCGGACTTCATAAGTATGGTTTAATTGTGTCCAATCCATTTTACTTTAGTAAATAAAATATGTTTAAACTAAACTAAACGACAAATCTGAAAACCGGCAATGTTTGTTAAACCAAACACTGTATATGCAAACTGGAGTTATAGGGAAAAGTACTTGGAATTGTCCACATCTGTGGAACAACAAAACTGTAAAGCATTTATAGTTAATAAAGAAACTGCTTGTATTAAACAAAAAATCCCAGAAAACATTTTTGGTCCTATGAGATAAGCTAGAAATGTCATGAGAGTTGGGAATTATCGATTTTTTAAAACAATTACAGACCTACATTTCTTGAACGATAATATTTGAAAATTGCCACAATCTACAGTTAGTTTGTCTTTAATATACAGAACAAAATTAATTAAGGAAAGAACATTTTTCTGAAAATTTTGGATTAAGACAATTGAATTCACATGAAAGCCAATAAAAAACATAAGTATTTTTATTATTCAATATTGATTTCAAATCACACTGCTATGTTCCATTCAAGAAAAAGAAATATGTCTTTTAAACTCTGTCAATTAAATTTGTTTATTATTTTGAATTTTGATTCTAAATAGAAACATCTATTTCAAATGTAACAAAAGACAAGTTCGTAACAAATATTGACAATCACTAGCAAAATTAAAAATAAAAATATATAAAAACGGAAAAGCACAACATATCAGTTGATTGTAGAAAATGAAATATATGGTTGTCATCAATAATCCAAATACAACTAAGTATAAGGTACATGCATGCAAATGTCAAAGTGTGGCAACTTTTGGGCTGTCATAGAGTGCATGGGTACACTGCAAGTCCCTGCTTGATGTACCTGTTCCAACATACATTTGTATTTTAATCTCTTGTAACGTGTTCTCAGTTTTATGCGATTGAACTATGCTGATTTTCTAAGGATACGTAAATCAAGGATGAATTTTTATAGAATATAGGCGAGAACTTTGTTGTGCTCAAGTTGTGAAAGATAAAACATGTGCTACAAATTATACAATATAGTATAGGAGAGGGGGAAAGGACATGTATTAGCGGTATAACGCATAATGAGGACCGCTCAAATTTTGTTTACCCCACCACTTTCTTTATGTGCCTGTTCCAAGTCAGGAGCCTATAATTAAGTGGTTATCATTGGTTGCTGTGTGTGATATATGTTTCATGTTTATTTTTTGCTAGCATAATTCAGGCCTTTGGGTTTCTCGTTTGAATCTTTATATATTTTATTATGTCATAACCTTTTAACGCTTACTATGCCGTATGTGATTTGCTCATTGGCAAATGCCGAACAGTGACCTATAGATTCTTGCATCATTTGGTCTCTGGCGGATAGTTATCTCCTATCAGATCTCCTTATTTTTTATTTTACATACCGTCATGAATATTTTCTCCTTGATCTTGGGTTGCTTTATAGTACTATAGAAAAATGATAAATGTTATACTTTACAATAAAATGTTTGACTGGTAAATGGGAGGGAACCAATACATTTAACTCTATGTCATGGCTTAGCGAGATACCATATTTCGAATGTCACCCTATCTTGCAAACCAAACAAAAATCGATAATCTAAAAGACAATGAATTAAATTTACATCAATAATTTTAAAGACAGTGCTCAAGTTATACGTTTCGGCCTTAGACCTTTTTCATAGACTGTCAACATAAAAAATACATCTTGCTTCACTTTTGTTTACTTTTCTAATGACAGTTATTATGTACTGAAAGTCATAATTTATTACTTTCAAGACAATAATGGCAGAACATTCTGTTTAATAAATTGAATAGCACATATCTGAGAGGGTGACAGAGCAGATTGTTACCCCTAAAAAACATTGTGAACCTTGGTTTTGCCTCGGTTGACACTGTTTTTTGGGGTTAAGTGTTTGTTATTTGATTTTTGCAAGTGCGTTTTAAGGAAGAAGAAAGGCATTAAACGGGCTAGTAAGCACTTAGTTTTGAAAAATAGGCATTGGAAGTGTACTGATTGATATTTTAGTCTTAGATACATAATCTGTTATTAGTTTTTTTGGCTTTGAACTAGCTTTCAGTAAATGCGAATACTCTCAGACCTGTACTTTGTGTCTCTTGTGTTTTTGTTAGTTGTTTTTGTTCTTTGTTTTGATCTTGTGAGTTAAGCCCTTTTCAACTGATTTTGATAGTTTGTACTTATGTTGTGTTATTAAACCACTGTCCCAGGTCAGAGTGAGGGTTGGGCGCCCGCATATATGTTTAACCCTGCCACATTCGGTATGTGCCCGTCCTAAGTCAGGAGCCTGTAATTCAGCTGTTGTCAATTGTTGCTGTATATCATATCTGTTTATTGTTTATTGTTTTGTACATAAATCAGGTCGTTTTTTTTCTCGTTTGAATTGTTTTACATTTGTCACTTTTTTTTGAAAGTTTGCTATGCGGTATGGGTTTTGCTCATCCTTGAAAGCCGTGCGGTGACATATAGTTGCTTACTTCTACGTCATTTTGTCTCTGGTGGAGAGTAATGTCATTGTCAATTATACCTAATTTTCTTATTTCAATATGGTTTACTGTGCTTATCCCGAAGGCTTTGGCCTGTCACAATAACAATTTCTCAAACAGTTTACCAAATTGCAGTTTGAATTCATCTCAACAAACCGATCAACTGGTAAAATATTTTAGCAAATTGCTTCAGTGAAAGAGTGTTAGTATGAAATGAGTGTAGTGAAATAATAGTAATGCCTACCATCTTACTTCATTTACTTAATTTCTATATAATGGAAGTGAAATAAACTAATCACCTACTATAACATAAGGCACTGGTTTCAAAAGGTCTAACTTTGACATGAAAACTTCTATTCTAATGACATTTTATAAATAATTAGTTCTAACAATTATTTGGTGAGTCAATAACTTTTTGCTTTGTTTTCTAACAGGAAGTTATTGTGTAATTGTAAGTTTGATAATTTTTACTATAACAATTACTGATCTCATGGCATTAAAGGAAAATAATTTTTATTCACTCATTGTAAAAAAATAATTTCAAAGATACCAGACTGATGATTTTGTACGCCAGACACAAGTATTGTTTACAGAAGACTCATCAGTGAGGCTCGAATAAAAAATTGAAACGCCAAATTGAGTACGAAGTTGAAAAGCATTGAGGAAACAAAATTCTAAAAGGTTTTGCAAAATACTGCTTATAAAAAATCTAATCCTAGGGGATAGAAAATCCTTATCAGTAAATTTATAATTTTGACCATGTGAATGATAATTCATGTCAACACAGAATTGCTGACTTCTGAGCTGATGATACCCTGTTATTTTACACAGGAATCTGTATGATTTATACATCTTTGAATGTGTCACATAGTATGTTTTTCAACAGTATTTTTCAAATTTTAAACATCTTACTGTGCTTATTGAATAGACTGTGGCCTATTTCTATTCCAATTGCTCAAATAGTTTACCAAATTGCAGTTTGAATTCATCTCCACAAAACTGATCAACTGGTAAAATATTTCAATTAATTGCTTCAGTGATAGGTTGTTAGTGTGAAGTGAGTGCAGTGAAAAAGGATTATAATTACCATTTAACTTTAGTTAATTATTGTCAATGTCATGAAACTCAAATAAAATAATAACTTATAATATGAGACACTGGTTTAAAAAGGTCTAACTTTGATATGAAAACTTCTATCCTAAATAAATTTTATAAATAACTAGTTCAAAACATTGTTTTGTTGATTAATAAATTATAGCTTTGTTTTCTAACAGGAAATTATTGCGTAATTGTAATTTTGGATATTTTTTTTATAAGCAATTACTAATCTGCTAATAATAAAGAGAAATAATTCACATTATAATCAGCAAAATTTTGTTCTGTAAAATATCAAATTCCTTCATATTGACATTTTATAAGTATTATGTTCTAAACATTATTTCTATGATTATTAAACTCTGAATCTATTTTCAAGATGATTAAAATTTTGAAAAAAAAAGCTGTTGAAAACATATGTGACACATTCAAAGTTGTATAAATCATAGATTCCTCTGTAAATTAAGAGGGTATCACCAGCCCAGAAGTCAGCAATTCTGTGATTTATCATTCATATGGTCAACATTATAAATTTACTGTTTTTCAAAAATTTGAATTGTTCAAAATACTAAGGATTTGATACCACTGAGAATTAGATTTCTTATAAGCAGTATTTGACAAAACCTTTCTGAATTTTGTTTTCCCAATGCTTTTCAACTTCGTACTTAATATGGCATTTCAAATTTTTTATTCGAGCCTCACTGATGAGTCTTCTATAAACAAAACTTGCGTATGGCGTACAAAATCATCAGTCTGGTATCTTTGAATATTTTTTTTTACAATGAGAGAATAAAAATTATTTCCCTTTAATGCCATGAGATCAGTAATTGTTATAGAAAAAATTATCTAAATTACAATTACAAAATAACTTCCTGTTAGAAAACAAAGCAATAAGTTATTGACTCACCAAACAATTGTAAGAAATTAATATTTATAAAATGTCATTAGAATAGAAGTTTTCATGTCAAAGTCAGACCTTTTGAAACCAGTGCCTTGTAGGTGATTATTTTATTTCTCTTTCATTACACAGACATTAAGTCAATAAAGTTGGATGGTAAGTGTTATTTTTAATGCACTGCACTAACTTCCACACTAACAATCTAGCAGTGACGCAATTTGCTAAAATATTTTACCAGTTGATCAGTTTTGTTGAGATGAATTCAAACTGCAATTTGGTAAACTGTTTGAGCAATTGGTATTGTGACAGGCCAAAGTATTCAGGATAAGCACAGTAACCAGCTTTTAAATGCTATTCGATATTAATTAGGTGTCATTCAGCTGTTTTTATTTTGCTTCCATTTGTTTCTTAAAGAAAACAATATTGGTAAATTTTGAATACAGTATTTTCAAAATCTTTGCCACATTTAAATAAAAATACTGATAAAACAAAAATAATATAATAATATGAGGCTTAATTTAATTCAAAGAAAAAAGCTAAAGTCAAGGATACAAATGCCATTTATCATTTTCAATTGTACTATGTTCTTTATGTTAGTCAACTTATATCCCCCCCGTCCCAAATTAAAGGATAATTTGTCCCTTTAATATTCAGTATTTACACAGATTGTACCATTTAGGGGCGTCTTATTTACTTCAGTTACTTATATCATGTATAAGCTATAACTTTACTGCTACTGTTAAAATGAAAAATACCAATTAACAAAATGTTTAAAATCTTCTATTTTCTTGATGCTCCTGTTACTCCATAATCTTTTGCAATCTTTTATTTTTTTGAAAACATACCGTTTGATATTCAAATATTTGTCTACAAAGTTGGGGATTCTTCTTCTTAATATCATTGTAGATGGAACAAATACTGATTCCTTGTTGTAAAAGTTTACTTTTAGGAAATGTTCGTCTTTCCCGTGAAAATTTTCTTCTGTAATAGAAGTTTGGAAATCCTCTGGCAAACATCAGAACAACGTGGGGTTCATTATTGTTGTGAGAAAGCATGATCCCAGGACAACCCGAGGCTCCATGTTCAAATTGGCACTTGACAACAAGTCTGTCCTTCTGAAGTAAGTCGTCGTAATCGTTGTCATAATTTCTACTAAATTTATATTTAGATGCACAAAAGTCTTTTAAGCTTTGTATACGAGTATGGGTTGGAGTCCAGAGTTCAACATCAAAATGAATTTGTTTCTTTTCACCGAGTGGGTATGCTATTAGATGAAGAAGTGCGCCATCGTCATTCTCTGGATCAACAATGTGAAACTTGGTAAGAGGTGGAGGAAGATTTCTGCTTGTAGCCTCTAACTGTAGAACAACAGTATCCAATTCCTTGTTCTGGTAAACTATAGATGGCCTGATTCTGAACTGTTTCTTGTTGCAGAATTCTACGGTCATATACTTCAATTTATTCTCATTCATATTGTTATCATGGCCTCCTAGAGTAAAAAACTTAAAATTGACAAAACAAAACCAATAATATGATTCATCCTGCAATTAGCCAATTTTAGTTGATGTCTACACGTTTTTCAAGGGAGACCAAATTGACGTAAATTGTTTAATCTTTTTACGGTATAAATATAGAATATAACATGAAGTATGAAAGTGTTAAAAAACGAAAAAATCAATATAAAGATTTGCTGTCTTTTTTTCAAAATTCAAAGAGAGAGAGAGAGAGAGAGAGAGAGAGAGAGAGAGAGAGAGAGAGAGCAACTTTTCTTTTTCAGATCGGCAACATTGAAGAGACAGAACGATTATGTATTAGATGTACTACAGAACATATTTATTGTTTATATAAACAAGGAGATGTAGTATGATTGCCAATGAGAGGATAATCCACCAGAGACCAAATGACGTGGATGTAAGAAATTAGACAATTACTTATGTACATAATTTTATCAAAAGTTACTCATTAAAATTGCAATTAAGCTTATGATATGCAGTTGTTACAATAGTAATAGGAAGACACTTACTTATCTGTTGCTCTATTCCATGCCAAACTGTCATGATAAAATTCTGTCCTACACGCCAACAACTACTATCAATAAACTGACCACGAACGATACCAACAGATTCAGTCACCGCGTTGAGTGCGCTGACTTTGTCGGCTACATGAATTGCTGGTAACACCGCATTTTCCGCTGAAAATTAAAATCAATGTTGTAATACTACTGGCAATCGTTTGATAGTTGATTTTATGCTTTCTTTGTAGCGTCTAGGTTATTTTTATTTGATATAACGAATAAAATGATTTTGAGGATTCAATACTATATTTGGTTTCTAATGTTGTAAATTGTATCTTGAGTCAAATGCAGAAATATTAGCGCCCACAGATTTCAGTGGTGAGTCGTGGACATAATTCGATTTCTGAATCGTACAAAAAGAGCTTTCCTTCCTATACTACTCAGCTTTATTTTCAATCTCCGGCACAGAGCTCACATCCGTTCCGTACTTACTTCGTATCACTACACTAAATCAATCTCCCATGCAGAGTTATCGGTCCTTTCTCTCTCTCTTGCATGGGAGATTGTACACTAAATATGTATTGTAGTATACAGAGTGTACGGAAAGGAAACGAGCGCCGTACGGAGATTGCTTTATTTTATGTTCAATTAAAAATAATCCAATAGGGGTCATGAGATTAAGTCTTTCATAGAGTATAAGTTTTCCTTAAACAAATGTGACTTTATCAATCTATTACAAAAAAAAGTAAAATTACAAAAACACAGAGCTCCAAGGAAAATTCAAAACGGAAAGTCCCTTATCAAATGACAAAATCAAAAGCTCAAACACATCAAACGAATGGAAAACAACTGTTATATTCCTGACTCGGTACAGGCATTTCCTTATGTAGAGAATGGTGGATTAAACCTGATTTTATAGCTTTGGTTTTAAAACATACGCTTACCATCTATAAGTTCCAGTAGTGTCTGTTTAAGCTACAAAAATAAAATACAGGTTGAGGTGACACATTGTGTGATACTTATCGTTAGTCAGTGCTTCGATATTAGCACGATCTCAATAACACATTTTGTATTCATTTCCTAATTTTGTAGCTGTACTGTAACTATGTTCCATCAGGAAATTTTTATGTAAAAGTCTTCACTGTTTTAAGTCCCTTTTGTTTTTTATGCTTTGAAATGTTTTACAGTTTTGGCTTTTAATAATTTTGAAAAAAATATGTGTTACAGTAAATCGATATTGTATTTTTACACTCACCTTTTGTATTCTTTATCCTTAGCAACTCTTGATAAAGGATAATATATCCTTAGCAACTCTTAATAAAGGATAAATAAAACAAATGATCTAAAACAAAAATATGCTTCGTAGATACGATCACATACCATTGCGTCTGCTTCTCTTTCGTCGGGATTACAATTCCTCTAGTTCGCAATGGAGCAGCCAAGTAGTGATTAACTACTGTCAGAATAGAGTATTGCATTTGAACGTTTTGGAATAAATACATATAAGTCAACAACGATTAACTCGAAGAGTATAATCTATTTATTTTTGAAATTTCGTACAAGGAAACATACGATTTCAAGATTATGTCAGTTTTATTGTAATCTTACAATTTATGTCTATAAAGTTCAAGATTGACAATACAAAAGACAAGTATATAACTTGAATCACACTACTTGCTTCTTAGCACTTTTTTTTATGTATCAAAAAAAGTATTTACAAAGTGTTATCATGTATCAGGATAACTTTCAGAAAACGTTCAAATTTTGGAAATTAAACCAAAAAAAGATAGTACAGCGATTCATATTGCCATACAAAAGTATCAATGTCATGGCAGCAAAATAGATGCAATTAAGATTTCATTCCAAATGAAAACTACAAAACATCTTCTGAAAGTGTTACTGCATCTGGAATATGTGAGATAATGACACTTTTCCTGTTTAATCAAAACTAATTGTTCTTTTTAGAAAAAGAGAAAAGACAAAACATTTATTTATTACTTCTATGTAAATCAGACTTGTGACGCCCCTCAGATATGGGGAGCTTACATCTAATACTTGTATTCCATTGCGAGTAAGTGGTTAGAATTATAACTCTGAATCTAAGATAATACTTACACTGCCAGTCATCATAAAAGTGTTAGTCTCCCGAAGAATATCTTTCAAGTAGTCCGTTGAAAATTCTTCCTGAATCGACCGAATTTGCTTCTTTTGTTCTTTTTTGAAGAACTCTCCAACATTTCCAGCCAAGCCAATAACCGCTGTTTCAAGGATATCCCACTGGATTTGAAACTGATCTTTAGGAACTTCTGATGTATGAGCAAGTTTGTTTCGAACTTCACGCACACTGTTCAGCCATTTAACTTGAGATTCATCCAAATCACAACACGCTCTAACAATAGAACATGTAAGTGTAATATCTAGCACCGACACATCTATATTGTCTTTTGGTAAATATCTGCATATACAATGTTGCAATACAACACCATTTAGAATTTTGAAATGGTCCTTAGGTGGTTTCCCTTTGACGTAGTACAGTATTTCAAACTGTCGTTGTCTCAGTTTATGATGTCGTGATTGTTTTCTAAAATTTGTACACTCACAGCAAGGTGTATCAATGATAAATCTATGAAAGAGTTCATGTCTGTAGTTCTCTAAAAATTTCGAAAAGGTAATCTTATCCAAAACTACTCGTTCAAAGTGCTGTCGTATAACATCCTGTGTTTGCCCAAAACAAAATGTCAATAATCTCAAATAATTCTTTCTCTCTGGATTGTTCATTGAGTTACTGTGAAAAGAAGAGTTCATCATTATCCTCTTTACATTCCAAATATCATTGGTAGTGCCACTTATGAAGCTGGCACTGTATACCCTTCTGTAGTACCAAAGTGATAGTTGACCGCTGTTTTTTTTTTGGTACAATTCCTGTTTCATTTTATTTCTCATTATCAAATTTATTAATAACAATTCATTGACATTTTTTTTTCTCAAAAAACAAGAAAAAAAGTAAAAAAACATATTTATAAAGAAAAATTACACTTAGATTATAACAAAATTAATTGCTATTTTTCAAAGAACGCTCTCAAAGACAAAAAGGAAAGCATCTTGCTTAGTTGGTTAATTTCACTTTCAGATATAATGATGACGTTTTGTCCCTTAAACTCCCACATGTTAATGAGTGCTTACATTTTACCTTTGTTGTATTTGACAAAACCTTTCGGAATTTTGGGTCCTTTTGAACTTTTTTTTATTCGAACGTCACTAATGAGTCTTTTGTAGACGAAACGCTCGTCAGGCGTACAAAATTTTAATCCTGGTATATATGATAAGTTTATTTGCATGATTTAGATTAAAGTGAACTTGAGATAAAAGATACTATCGAAAGTAGACGGTCTGCTTCATATCTTTTCCTTGATATTGAAACAGAGACGAGAACTTATACATTGTATTTTGAAACAGATTGACGACTTCAAACAAGAATCCATGACAAAAGTTATGTATACCCTCTGCTCCAATTTTGGCCAGAAATTTTGCAAAGTTAGAATATTTGTAAAAGATTGATAATTCGGATCGTGAAAGATTGGGTACCGCTTTCTTTTTGATGATGGCGAAAAGGATCGTGAAAGATCTCGTACCGCTTATTTCTTATTGCAAAAATCTAACAAAAACGTACAAATTATTCTTTTATTACACGATAATTTGTATTTGTAATTGGTATAGCAAAAGACTGGATTTGCCTGACTTAATCCGGTTCCATTTTGTTAGCGAATAGGGCTACGATAGTTCAATTCTATTGGATCTGATTATTATATCGCTCAATTTCAAATTGTAAACAAGTATTAGCTTTTCCGAAAAGTAAGACAGTGTTTGCAGTTATATCTAGGTATTTGTGCTAGATTAAATCCGTTAGATTAAAAAACATCTTGAAGATTGAAACGAAGAGAAAAAAATATCCAACAGAAAATTATTATTTACAAACGGAGCTAGGCCGAATGTGTCAACAGGCATTCGATTCCAGACTCAGTCGAAATTGTACCGATTGTGAAAAGAACATACTCGGTTAATTTACAGTTTAAGCTGGTATTAATAAAAACCAATCGAGGTACGTATGTTGGTTTTTCACCACGAAGTTGGTTACAATCACGTATAGCAATGTACGCATTGAGTCTATATAGCTGAAAGTCACAACCCGTAAGAAAAAAAACGAAGTTGCGTTCACATTCAGATATATCCAGGGGAAGACCCCCAGCCCCCTATCGCTTCAAGCATTCACGGAAGCATTTTGTAGTATACATACAAAGATACTTACTTTATGATAATTTACTCTCCTGGAGGTCCCATTACCTGATATGTCTAGTTAGCATTGCATTTTAAGTGAAAACATGTATAAATATGGGTTTATATGTGTGTATATATTATATAGACACATATTTAGTTATTTTAATAGCGTTTGTAGAAAATGATGTGGTGGTCAATAACACTAAAAAAAAATGAAAGCCAAGCATTAAATTACGTTCATATTATATAAGTAATTACACGTTTCGACCAATTGCAAGTATATTAATCGGTTACAGAAATGTTATATATATATCAATCAAGTCTGGTCACGCCTTGTCTTTCACGATCAAAATAATTCGTAACCTGATCTTTCACGATCTATTTTGATTAAAAATCAACAAAATTCGACTTTTTCAAAAATAATATGAACCTTCTCAAGGAAAAAAACCTTTTATTTTACTGTTCTATCTGACACACTAAAGATTAAGTTTCAAATATATCATGATAATTTGGGTTGTGACCATTATAGATACTAAACGTGTGTTTTCTTTAATGATTCGCCTAAGATTGTGTATCGCCTTTTGCGTTTTCTTAAAAAGTACTGCATTTTTTCTTTACCTTAGTGCACAGTATTGTTCAGAAAGTTGAACCATTTTGACAGACACATTTCTTTTTTCAAAATTTTTCCGCGTTTTGATAACAAAAAGGATAATTTCACAGATTTTGGAGTTAATTTGTTCATTTATTTTTTATATTTCTTAACTGTATTCTGTAAAATTTACGGCTTTACTTTTGGTCCTTTTTGGTTTTATCAGCTCAACATTTGTATAGAATACGGATATTCAAATATTTTAGCCTCTTGCATCACTGGAGGAACATAAACTGTCAAAATGCATATCTAGTGTAGTAAAATTGGTTCCTTTAATTCATTAGTTCATCTGGTCGATGCCTCATTAGGTAGACTGTAAATCCCCGTGGGTATCACCATCCCAGAAGTCATTACTTCGGTATTGGCACGAGAAAATGGAAATCCGTGTTGAAGGCCTTACCTTGACCTATAATGGTTTACTTTTATAAATTGTAACTTGGATGGAGAGTTGTCTCATTGGCACTCATACCACATCTTTCTTTATCTATTTAAACTTTTAATATAAAAATAAGGAGATGTGGTATGATTGCCAATGAGACAACTATCCACCAAAATTCAAATGAAGTGGATGTAAGTCTGCTGTAACAGTAATAAAAATTTGGAAGTCAGACTAAATCAAGGTGTGTATCTCCCTCATGCATAGTTCTAATTCCTTGTACGGGTTCAGCTTTACTTTTGGTACTTTTTGTTTTCATCAGCTCTTCAACGTTTGCATTAGTGTTTGGATTTTCAAATGGTTTGGCTTCATGGGAAATTTTTGGCATTTGTAAAATGGATCTATAAACGTTGTTGTGTACGTCAACAGAGGCGAACAATTATTTTTTAAATTTGGATTTCGATTCTCTTAAAAATAGTATGTTATTGCTGGGCAAATTTAAGTTTAAAGTTTGTGAAAATATTAAGAGACCCTCAGATTTGCTTTTGCTGATATTTCATTTAAATGTAAAAGATTCATAAAAATCTTGAAAAACTACTATTTTGCAGCGTGACACCGTCTCGATGTTACATTTATTTGGTCCGTTGACAACATACTTTCACTCAACATATCGAAATTAATTTACCTCTACTGAAAAATTTAATTCAGTGTACTCACTTTAAAGTGTGTACTATCAAAACGGAAACGACGATATCAATATCATATCATTTCTAAACAAAATGTTGCAAACAGACTTTCGAGAGATATTAGTTTTAAGTGAAAAAGAAGGTTTTAATAATGTTTTTCACTTACAATCTACACTTTTATGGGTCGGTTTTACGAACTGTTAATTGATTATATCTCTGTGAGTATAAATGCCACATACATATCTTTTTCAACGAGTCGTATATGCATACAAATTTCACATAAACCGTCGAATTACGTATACTTCACCTCAATGATGACTGGTATTTAAAAACCTTTAAGAAATCCGAGCAGATGATTTTTTTTACCAAGTCTTCTTCCTCAAAGTTCGAACGTCAGGAAATAAATGATTGTGTACTCCACATTATTAATGTATACACATGTCGTGACAAATCGATTAACATACATGTATAAATAAATGTGAACAGTTTACAGTCACCACATCCTGTTTAAGCTCGTAGTTCAATACGCGGAAAGTTAAAATTCAGTTTTCATTATTAAACTTGAATATATAATTATGGTCCATGGAAAAATTTGGCGTGTAGGAAAATTTTTTATATTCACCCACAAAACATGTCAATAATAACAACATTTTTAACCGTTTATGCATACTTAGTTATTAGAATATGATTTAATTCAAAGTTCTTGCGTGTGATGTATTGTGAAGGATTTGGATGTTTACAAGGTACGAGACTATCTTCTCATCGAACATAAAAATCGAAATTAATTGTTTTTCTGACAATGGTGACTGTAGAGTCTATTTCTGAGCTACGCAGCTTATTATGCGTATACATGGTATAGATGGAAAAGTAGGTACTTTATATGGAACGCCATAACTGCCTTATGTTGATGATCAGCATTATATGCAGTGCTCACACCATTATATGCAGTGCTCACACCATTATATGCAGTGCTCACACCATTATATGCAGTGCTCACAACATTATATGCAGTGCTCACAGCATTATATGCAGTACTCACAACATTATATACAGTGCTCACAACATTATATGAAGTGGTCACAACATTATACGCAGTGGTCCAAACATTATATGCAGTTGTCGGGACATTATATGCAGTGTTCACAACATTATATGCAGTGGTCACAACATTATACGTTTTTTGTTGATGAAGGTGATGATCAGTGATGGTGATGATGTTTGATGTATGTGAGTGATGATGGTGGTTCAGATTCGGTAAACTTCGGGGTTTTTTTTAGCGGAAATTACCGAATCCATAATTATTAATGCCAAGCAAACAAATTGAAACAGTTATACAGTAAGGCAGTATACAATATTTAAAACTGATTGAAATAAGGAAATTAAGGAGTATGATCAATTTACCACACATTTATTCCACACCAGGGCATTTTTAACTTATTTTGATGATCAGTTTCATCATATTCACAACTTAATATGTATATACTTTAAGTATTTAATAAATTGCTTCGCCGAGCGCAGCTGGATACGACCGCAGAGGTCCAACCCTGAACCGTTGGGACAAAAATGAACACAATATTCACGCTTGATACAGGTCTGAATTTGGATTGTAATTAAATATTTGACACATAATAGGTTTCTGACACAGAATAACTGTAGTCAAAGAACTTAGAATTGGTTATATAATTTGAATTTATACTTAATTTTTTGCTTTTGCACTACGCTGTTGCGAATTGCCCCACCCCCTCCCAAAAATAAAAAAAATACCCCCCCTTTTTTTTTTTTTGTGCAATACACTATGCTGTTGCATACTGACCCCAACCCGAAAAAGAAAAGAAAAATGTATCCCCCACTTTTATGATATATATGAAGAAATTTTCTTTTAAATATCTGAAATCTGATATGAGAAATATAGATTCTACCACTGCATCGAGTGTGATACGATATTTATCCACTCTCGACAGTTAAATTTTCAAATTTTAAAACGCGAGGCTCGCCGAGTGTTTTAAATATTTAAAATTTAACTGTCGAGAGTGGATAGATATCGTATCACACTCGATGCAGTGGTAGAATCTATATTTCTCATATCAGATTTCAGATATTTAAAAGAAAATTTCTTCATATATATCATATAGATTTGGTGGTGGAATCTGTTTCTCTAATGATTTTCTAACAATATGCAGGCAAAGTTATTCCTTCTTTTCGAATGATCTGCAAAAAGATGTGTTCTTTCTATGTGACGTCATCAGACATGGTCGCCTTTTTTCATGCCGTCACAATAGGAAATTCAGAGGAAAGCAAGAAAATTCGACGTCATAATCGGATTTTAACCAACTTGAATGAAGAACTGAGATCAAACGAACCACACGTTGATTACATTTTTTTTTATACAATGGGTGCAGAAAGGGATAAATTGACGAAAAATTAGAGAAATATTTTTCTCACACCGGTCAGAAATGTGAAAATAGCACAAAAATTAGAGAAAAACATTTCTTTACACATAATTTTAAAGCAGTGTAAGGGAGGTAATCAAACATTATGTTTGGATTAGCCTGGGATCCTGGCTCACTGCTCGACAGTAGACCTATCGACGAAGTATTAGATTGGGTTAGGATGCCAGGCTATGTTTGGATTACCTCAATATATTTGGATTACCTTCCTTACACTGGTTTCAAATTGTCTTAATTGGCCATTAACCAAGAAACCCTTGTTTTTCCCTCTTTTTTGCCTCTAATTCCTAAACGGTTTGAGTCATAACCCCTCCCCTCAAGCCAATCCTAACCATCACGTTGTGGTATGGAAACTTGTGGTATAATTTCAGAAAGATCCATACACTTAAACACAAGTTAATGTCTGGAAACTACAAAAATGTTTATTTGGGCCCCCCTTTTTTTTGCCCCTAATTCCTAAACAGTTGAGACCATAACCCCCAAAATCACTCCCAACCTTTCTTTAGTAGTTATGGACCTTGTGTTAAAATTTTATTGATTTCTATTAACTTATACAAAAGTTATTATTAATATTTAATGCAAAAAAGGAATATTATCAAAACGCTATATCTAGTTCCAAAAATAGTAAAGAACTTTTGAATCACATTAAAGAGTTAAATCCAAAAATGGATAATATTTTCCCACCTAAAATGCAGTATGAAAATCAAACTGTTTATAACCCCAAAGATATGTTCATTTTTCTTCCGTAGCTGAAAAACTTATTGGAAATAATACTTCAGATATGGATTTTTCTAATCTACAAACTTTTACTAGTACAAAATTAAAGGAAACTGAATTTTTTAAATTAAAACTCATTTCTGTTGGAGAGGTGTGTTCACAACTAAAACACCTTAATATTAATAAATCCGCAGGTTTAGATGGAATTGGTCCAAAACTTTTAAAGCTAAGTGCAGAGATAATATCGCCATCACTAACTTTTCTAATAAACAAAAGTATAACGTCGAATCGTTTTCCGCAAAAATTAAAACTTGCAAGAGTAACTGCTATACATAAAGGAGGACCAACAGATATTCCCTCCAATTATCGTCCAATTTCTATTTTAAATACCATATCTAAAATTTTTGAGAGACATGTATGTACACAGTTATATGCATTCTTAAATAATAAAAAAATGTTACATATCGCTCAGTCAGGTTTCAGGCAAGGTCATTCATGTCAAACAGCGCTGACTAAACTAATTGATGAATGGTTAAAATATTTAGACAATGGAGAAATAGTTGGTACTGTGTTTTTAGATTTCAGTAAGGCTTTTGACCTTATTAACCATGCCATACTTTTAGAAAAGTTAAAATTTTATCATATCGGAGAACATATGATAGATTGGATAAAATCATATTTGTCTGAGAGACAACAAGAAGTTCAATACGCTAACATTAAATCTGATAAATCGTTTGTAAAATATGGAATGCCTCAAGGTTCTATTTTAGGTCCTCTGTTATTTTTAATTTATATAAATGATTTACCACTTCATGTTAAACAATCCGACATGGATTTATATGCTGATGATTCAACATCGCATTTTCATAATAAAAACATTGAAAAAATAAACAGCATATTGCAAAATGATTTAAATGCTATACAATCTTGATGTAACAATAACAGTATGAAAATTAATGCACAAAAAACAAAGTGTCTGAAATTGGGTTCAAAACAAAAACTTACACAACTATCAGAATTATGTATTACCGTCAATGAAACATGTATTGAAAATGTCCATTCTTTCAAATTACTTGGAATTGACATTGATGAAAATTTAAGCTGGGAGGATCATGTTGATCGTATATGCAAGATTATCTCATCTAAAATATCACTTTTGCTTAAAATTAAAGTATATTTGCCTATACACACAAGACAACTATTTTATAATGCATATATTCTACCATATATAGACTATTGTAGTTCAGTTTGGGGAAATTTATTACAAAAAGATTCAGATAGAATCATAAAACTTCAAAAAAGAGTAGCAAGAATTATACTTGAATGCGATATGTCTGTTCCATCTAATTTTATGTTTTCATCTTTAAAATGGCTATCTTTTACAAAAGAATAAAATACCAACAATCAATTCTAATGTATAAAATTGTAAATGGACTAACACCTGAATACTTAACAATGCTAAATATTAATGATGTGCAACACCACAACTTACGATCTGTCTCTAATAATGATCTATTAAAATTTTGTTCCAAGACCAAATACAAATTTTTATAAAAAATCTTTTCATTATTCTGCAACAATGGTATGGAATAATTTACCACTCAAAATAAAAAATTGTCGAAATGTGGAATTATTTAAGAAACATTGTTATAATTATTTTCTTGAAAATTCTATGCAAGTCGAATAATTTGTTTTCTTTCTTTTATTGTAAGAATAAGAAAATTTAATCAAACTTTACCAATTATTGCCATTTATTGCCATTTGTATGTTTGAATGATTGAATTGTGTATATACTAGTAATATATATTGTATTTTAATGTATGAATGTATGAATGTTTACTGTATACATGTATTTTGTTTGAGGGCCTCAATGAAAATTAGACTACTTCTAATTGAGTTACCCTCTTTAAATAAAGAATTTATTATTATTATTATTATTATTATTATTATTATAAACCATCTGTCTTCGGGTGACGCTGACGACGACGACGACGACAACGTGATAGCAATATACGACCATTTTTAAAAAAAAAATTTGCGGTCGTATTAAAACATATATATTTATACACATATATAATTGTGCATTTCTGATCATTTAACTTCTAATAAATATCTTCAGATTACTCGGGACTGCAATTTATGTGTTATGACCCAGTATTTTTCAAGGAGAACCAAATATCTGTCAGAAGTATACTGTTCATTGTATTTTTATTTTTTTTATTAATGTTGGTCAGCGATGTTATTCGAAATAGATTTTTACTTAAACATATACGA